CAGGCTCCAGGCTCCAGCCTTAGGACCAGCCCAGCTCTGGATGTGGCAGCTACTGGGGAGTGAGTGAGCGGATGGAAGAGAGCTCTCTCACTATCTTTTCTTCTCTGTATAAATATGCCTTTTAAATAACAATACATACATCTTTAAAACAAAACAGAAAAAGCAAAGCTGAGCAGCTCTCGCAGCGGAGGAAACACGGGCCACGAAGCAATATTCCTGTCTGTCAGTGTTTTCTTTTCTTTTTCCTTTTCTTTCTTCTGTGTGTGTCTGGGTTTTCCGTATTGGTGCTGAGAGCTGATTCTCGGGCACACAGAAAGGACTGCCATCACCCCACTCAGAACCAGCTGGTTTGGAACCACGTCCTTCGCTGACGACTCATGACACCGTATGTTTGATAGTAACAGATCGAGCTCCTTTAACCAAAGCCAGCAAGGAGAACTTGGTCTCCAGATCACGGCTATGACGGCCGGGAAGAGGCTAAACCTTTAAATTCAATGCTTAATTTATTACTTCTGCTTTCCCTCTGCACCACCATACAGAAACTCTGACCCCAAGGAGCCAGAGTCCTGCTAAGACATTTGCATAAATAATTAAAGCATCCACACCAGGGAAGGCCATGAAACGGGCTTCCCTCTTCACCTTCCGATGGAAGAGACATCAGCTTAATTAGAGATGACCACGGTATCAGTGTTAACAATTCATTTACAGTCCTGGCTCTGGGTTTGTTGACTCAAGAAAGAAATATCTGAACTCATTAAGCAACAACAACTGCAAAATGTCCTCACCCCAAACCCTATTATTGAGATCAGTAATAGCATTTAATTAGAACAATGTATTAATAATATATGTAATATATGTTAGGATGGAGGCCTTTCTCTGCATTTCCCCAGGTAGAAATACTACTATCTGGCCTTTAGTTTCTGATTCAAATTTAAAAAGTGTGTGTGTGTGTGTGTGTAGGGGATGGGATGGGGGTCATCTCAAGTGGACTGTCTCCCTCTGGGGTGGGGTCTGAGTTTGGGGCTTTAAGGCAGTCCCCCTTGTGTGAATGCAATCTCTGTGTTGTAAGATGACAAGTGCTCCTTTTCATGTGAGTGCTCCCCAGTACTCCCCAGTACTCCCGAGATCTCAGATGTGCACAGCAGAGTGCCCCTAGCCCGCTGCTGACAATTTCCATTCAATTTCCCACCATCAGTGATGACTCCTTGAATGGGTTGCAGTATTACAACAGACAAGGTGTTTTAAGAAGACAGGGAGACGAGCCGAAACTGAAATTGGGGCAGTCTTTGATGCCCTCTGGGGTGGGACTGTCAGGATTCCGCATGGCATCTTTGCCAGCTGGAATGTGTGGAACTGTGCCACTGGGCAAAGGAGCACTGGATGCAAAGGCAGAGGAGGGGGAGGCAGGGTGTGCCTCAAAAAAAGAAAAAAAAAAAAGAAAAGAAAAAGAAAAGACAGTGCTGGAAGAATTACGGATGAAGGAAGCTTTGTAGTTTTTGAGAGCTTTGGACTGTCTCATTTGGATCTGAATCAGACCGACTGGCTTCAAAGAACAGGCTGGATTTAAATGCAGGCTGCTGGAAATGGCCCTGTAATGTAATTTTCATGTAGGTGGGCCTGGGTGTCCTACCTAAACCTTGCTGCTTGGCGGTTTAAAACAAGGCCGTGTGCAAAATATGTTCATGGTTGTCAACATTAGTCAGTGTTTAAAGATGAAAACAAAACAAAACAAAACAAAACTATGCTGCTAAAAAAAAAAAAATCCTTGCTATCCTGACACCTCCAGCCTGGCTCCCACTAACTCACAGAGTCCTGTTACACACACCTGTAGTATGGTTTGGCCCCAGGTTGGGCTGAAGTAGGATTAAGGCCATAGGGCCCCTTGAATTCTCTCTATGGTTGCCTCATCCTAAATCCCATTAAATGTAATAATATGCACCTGCTTTCCAAACAGGAACATTTCCAAATGTAAAATTTGCAAAACTATTGCTATGTTTTGCTTTGAGAATGCTTTGCGAGAAGGCTTCACTAATGACCACCCATGGCCTGTCTCCTGGGGGAAGCTGGGAATCTCTGCCCACCACGGGGTAGCACCCGATTCCCAGGAGGACCAGGCCCATTCAAAGGCACGGGAAGGTTGGGGTTGGGCATAATTCTGTGATCGCCTGGTGAGTCGGTGATGCAGCTTGCAAGCCAGTGAGCCAGTGGTCCCTGCTTCCCTCCCTCTCGCTCCCCTCCACTGCATCCTCCTTTCTGGGAGCATCACCACTTGTGGCGCAAGTTTGTACACTCACAACTTGAAGCTCCTGGTGGTTGCAGGCAGAGCCTGTCTTGCTTGCCAGGGAACACGCAGCTCTCGGCATGAAAGTAGGCTTGTCATGACTCTAAAATATCATTAAACTCAAGAACGAATAACCACAGCCCTCATGTTCTTTTCTAGTCATCAGCAACACATCTGTGTATCATTTTGATTATGCAAAATCCTCAAAATTTATCCTACAGTTTCTTATCAAATAGATTCAGTCCACAAAGGTGGTCATGGCAGAAAATTCTAGGTTCCTCACAATAACCATTCTTCCTTTCTTCCTCAGTACAGCCTTAGAAGCTGGCACACTGCTACTCAGTAAACGACTGCTTCTGTGGTCTCCTGGAGCTAGGTATGACTAATACATTTAAGCTGAAGTGTGACTGATTTCCGGGAAGTCGGCTTAAAATGCAGGAGGCAGCTGTTGTCTCCTTTCTCCCTGCCCGTGGTGTGCAATGAAGACAGGAAGGCTGGAACACTGGCAGCGGTAATGCACCACGAGGAAGAGGTGCAAGGCTGGAAGTGGTAGAATGGTGAGCAAGAGGGTGGCTGGGCTCCTGACAGCCCGGTGGGACAGCGACCCGCTTCCTCCCTGGGGCAGCCCGGTGGGACAGCGACCCGCTTCCTCCCTGGGGCAGCCCGGTGGGACAGAGACCCGCTTCCTCCCTGTGCAGGATGCCTGCTCTGCACTCATCTGTCTTCTCTGAGCCTCTCATCTGGAATGTTCTCTTCAGCTCTCCTGACTGAATCCCAGGGCTCCTCATGTCACGGACCCTCCCACAGTCCCCGGGCACCACAGATCTGTCCAGGGACGCCCGGCATCAGCAGGGCTGGGTGGTTGCCTGAGCACACACTCCAGGTGAAGGGGCCGGGAGTCCTCAGGCTGTGATCCACTGTCAGTCATGCCTCTCGCATCTGCAGTTCAAGGGCTCTGAGGGAAAGGGTGCCGGTGACCCATGGCTGCGTGGTGGCCTACAGGACAGTCGCAGAAGCTAGCCCCAGGGTCCCCAGGGGGAGGGTGGGGCCAGCTCTCGTGTCAGTCCTGATGTGGTGATATGGTGCCGGCGTAGACAGGGACCTCCTAACCCTAACACCAAGGCAGAAAACACACAGCAGATAGTCTAGACACCAAAGCAAGGAATTCTGTGTCCGTCCAAAAAAAAAAAAAAAGCTACAAACAATTCAGCAACTTAGAATTAGAAAACGAACGATGACTAAAACAGCAATATAGTTATGAGCAAGTCCACTGACTTCCATTAAAAAACAAAAGCGGACAGTTGGGGACCGTGACTATTCAAGAAGAGAACGAGGAACTGCACATGCATGCAGACCGGAAGAGTACTGCGATATTCAGTGGGGAGCGCCCACTGGAGCACCCGGGCTCCGAACGGCGCCCACACCAGGCTGGCCCACGGGAGCTGAGCTCTGTCCTGGGCAAGAGAACCACACAGACCTGTGATCGCCCTGGCTCCATCCCTCCGCAGGAGCCCAGACAGGCCCTCCCCTCCCGACTTCTTCCCGTCTCAGCTCCCAGGGCACGTGTCGCATTGGCCCTTCCACACCCTGCAGCCAGGACAGAGGCCTCCGTGTGAATTCATCCTGCCTCCCACCAGCCTGGCTTTACCGTCCCATGGAGGTGACAGCTGAGCTCCCGTGAGGACCGCTCCCCGCCCCCACGTGTGTGCCACCACCTTGTAATCCTGGCAAGCTACAGGCTTTGCCCTCTCAGCACTCCGCCTTTGATGTTCAAATCCCATGGCTGCTTTGCCAGCTGCTGGGCAGGGGCGGAGAGGAGGAGGAAAAAGGGGACGGAATAGAGCCGCGTCCCATTCCCATGGTTACAGGATTTGGTTTTCATTCCACACCGCTCTCCTGTCCATCTGACATCTCAGAGTCTCTCGGTGAACACAAATCCAGAAAACAGCCTTGACTTCCTCTCTGGGAGCCGGAGTCATGGCCGAAGGCCTGCCTGGGGGACTGTGGCACATTTCAGACAATGCAAACTGGGAAAAGATGATGTGTATTTGCTAAGAGCAGGTCTAGCATGTGATGATTTGGATCTCGTAGGGGAGGAAGGCTAGTTTTTGGGAAAGAACAGCTCTCTCCTGCAAAGATGAGCTGCCACCTGGACCTGCAGGCTGAATTCTGTCTGGATGGAGAGGGCAGCCTGTGGCCTTGGAGGCACCATGGCTGATGGCCATTTAATTAAATCTCATCAGGAAACATCTTGTAGCAAGCACTGAGCAGAGAAGATGGAGGAATGAAGATGGGGTCTCTGGAGACCATGTTCGGCCTGGCCCCAGCAGCCCACCTCTATGGGCCTGGCTCGGCTGGTCCCTTTCTCGTCTGGCTGCTTAGAGTCATCCAGCGTGCAGCAGACAGGAAGGCCCTGGGACAAGCTAAGGCACGGCAGCTAAGAAGTGATCAGACCTTTCTGGACTTACCATTCTCTCTCATCTATATGTGGGTTTCCCGACTCCTTGCTCATGTAGCTGGGGTCGCAGACACTAGGAGGCTTCCATTCCGGGGGCCATGCTGGCCACCAGCAGACCTGGTTGTGACAAATCCAGTCCCCACAACTGTCTACCTTATGACACTCACCTCCCCCTCATTCAGACCACCCCTGTGTGTCATTTCGTAGTGTTAGAGAGGAGGCGCAGGTCTTGCTGCCACCCAAGTGTGGTTGCTCACCCACCTGATGGTTTGGTGCTGCAGGGAGTCGGGGTCCGTGGCATTGACCGTCAGCAGCACGCTGCCCACGGAAATGTCCTCCCGCCTGGTCACCGTCATGGGGTCTGGGAAGAAGACTGGGCCCTCGTTGACATCCAGCACAGTGATGTGGACAGTGGCCGTGGAACTGGGGCCGTAGGACACGTCGGGCACAAGTGGGTCCTCGTTTTCCACCTTGATTAACAGGGTGTGGAAGGCGGAGATCTCGTAGTCCAGGGGCTGCAAAGCAGAAGACGGGGTGTATTAGGGGCTGCGCGGGCCGCTTCAGCACGTGCTGCCGCACGGTCCCTGGATCCCTGGCCGTGGCAGAGGCCGTGGCAGGCACCCCGGGCTCCCGCCAGGCCTGGCTCACTGAGCACTATGCAGAGTGGCATCCTCTTTAAGAAAGAGCGGACGAAATCTGTAGGTCAATGTCACATGTGGACACTGTTACTTGTCTTTTTTTGAGGTTGGGAAATGAACGACACATGGCTGGTGATCTGGGTCCCTCCTGCTGAGCTCTCCTAGGGCAGCTCTCCAGCCACGTGCCCATGGAAAGCCTACCTGCCTGGGAACTGTACCCTACAATTCTCCACACTCGTGGGGCGCAGGCCAAGGGCAGATCCTGGAGCCCGAGCCTCACTCGTTTCTTCAGGTCACTGTGAGTCACCATGGGTCGTGATGGGTGGTTGGCACTCACCAGCCATGGAGACCCAGAGCACATTTCTTAGCACACTGCATAGCTGCCTGGTGGGCAGATGCACAGAGAAGGGCCTGAGAGTCCAAGACACATGGGGTTGGGCCCCTGACGTGTCCCCCGAGGGCATCCAGTGTGGGGCCTTCAGAGTTGTCCCTATGGCTCGGGGCTCTGTGCCCATTTGTTGCACAAGGGATGGTGGTGCCACAATTGTGACTGTTGCCCAGGGTAGCACCATGCAGCGGAGGACTGTCCTGCCCCAGAAGGCAGTCCATGAGGGATGTCAACGCCTGCAGTTCATGAACCGCCCAGTGTGCATCACTCCTTGACGTGATAGCCTGCACAGGCTGCGCCAACCCAGAGGAGGTGATGTTCTCTGTCTACTTTACAGACAAGGAAACTGAGGCAGAGAAAATGTGGCTAGGGGTGTTGGCCAAAGACACATGGTGACTTGGCAGCAGTGTGCTGCCTCTGCCCATTGACCCTGCCCTGGGGGCGGGTAGCCTCAGAGCTTGGGAGAGGTCAACACATTCTTCCGGAGGGTGTGGTTGGGATGGAGGCACAGAGGGGTGGAGCAGGGATTCCAGACGGAGGGAGCTAGGACCCTGAAGGAATAAGCTTCTCTCTCTGCCCTAACAGGCTTTCTGAGCAACAGGAACACTTCCTGGCAAACCTGCCTGGGCCACTGGTTTGAACTGCTGGGGTTCAAGAAGGCTGCCCTGGTGACCCCAGCAGATTTGAGAGCTTCTCCTAATCTCATTTCCATGCTGAAAGTCATTCCCACTGGCGCCACGACTACTGGCCGCAGTTGACAACCAGTGAAAGAGACCACAGGGGGCCAAAGGCAGGCGGATCCCCCACGGCGAGGATTACTGGCCCCTTTCCTGGAAGACTGCACACCTCCGCACTGGAACAGCACCCTCCTTCCCCGTCCTGGCTCTCACTCTTCGGCCCCCAGTGGGGTGACAGCCAGCCAGGCTCATCACGGGGGAGCGATGAGACCCTGCCAAGACAGAGCAAAGGCCCCTCACGTGCCCGTTGTGCACAGTGGGCCTTCTTGGGCCAGTGTCCGGAGGTCTCTAGGTCTGGCTTTCTCAAAGTCACCCTTGCAAGACAGCTTTTCTCATTGTGTCCCAGGTTACAGGACAGCCTGGGGAGTGAGAGGATGCAGGGCCATCTCTCCCTGACTTCCTCAGCTCTGGGCCTCCCACGGACACCCCAACAACACAGTGGTCCCCTTACCTTGACAACGGAAAGCATCCCCTCGTTGGTCTGGGGGTTGGTGTGGACCTCGAAGCTCTGGCCCGGGTTTCCGTTGATGATGGTGTAGGCGGCTCTCCACGCGCCCGTGGCCGGGTCATCCTTGTCTTCAACGGTCAGGTTGACAATGACCCCCACAGCTCCTTCTTCCACCGTGGCTTGAAACTACAGACAAAAGCAACAGCAACTGTCATCATCTTAAATAATAACATAGAACATCTATGGGGCTCTGCTGTAGTGTGGCGTTGAGTATGTAATATGTATAATACCACTGACTTGTGAATAATAAGTGGGAAGATCATGACCCACAAGATGCTACACTGCACCTCTGGGCTGGGGAGGCTGTGAGACACATTGCTTTCCTGCAGACCTTGGGCCAATTGGGGCGGGGTGGGGCTGGGCTGAGCTAAGCCCCCCTGCTGGGCCTCCTGGCCACACTTTTCCTCAGTGCCTGCTTGAATGCAGACAGCCACAGGAGCCCGGAAGCCTAGCGCTTCGAGCCAGTGTGTGCTTGGTCTGCGTCTGATCTTGCCGCCGGGTGACCAGAGGAGCCAGAGGAGCAGAGCCAAGAGCCGAGAACCCTGCAACGTGTGGCCACCTTCTCCAAATGAGAACACTGTGTCACCGTCCCCACCCCTGCACCCGTGACAAGCCTGACCGGACAGCCATTTTCTAAGGAAACGGATAAATCAATGGGTGTTTTTTTTATTGTAATACATCTCCGATGCTTGTTGCAAGTAGGCGTGGTGGAAATACATCAATAAATGAGAAATTAGCTTTTGCAGAGAAAGAGAATTTTCTGAGCTCCTCTGAGCTGCAAGCATAAAGCATTGCTTGGGTGCCTACTTCTGACATGCTACAGGTGAGCTGCAGTCTGTTCGCAAATATCTTATAAACAAATAATAACCACAAGCTGACAACAAGAAGAAATGCCATGGAATTTCAATTAGCAAGAGAGCGAGTCTAGAGACACTCATTCGATGTCACAAAGCCCTCGGATTCAGAGAGAAGTAATTTGAGGAGTGAAGTTTCAGGAGCAGCTGCTGATTAACTGACTTGCAAATCATTCATCTTGCCCCTCAATCTTGATGCCTTGGAGGGGGATGGTAGCAGCCAAGAACTGATTTGTTCGCTGCTCACTCAGCAAGCCTGGGTGAGTTGTCTGTGGCCCTACAAAGGGTGTCTGACTGCTGCTGGGATATGCAAACAGGATGGGCATGACCTGGAAGTAGATGTGGAGGTCAAGCATCAGACCCAGTTCCTCTGGCTCAGCGAGGTTTACAGTCTCTATCTGCTATCTCTTCCTTTCACAAAAATCACAGAGCTTGAAAATAAGATCAGTTGCTTTCAGCCCCTTCTGCACATCAGAATAACTTAGGGGCTTAGAGGGAGAGAGAGACTGAGTGATTCTGGGGCTGATGTGTGCCACAGTGGTTAGGCTACTTCTTACACCCCACACCACAGTGCCAGTTGAAGTTTGGCTGCTCTGTTTCCAATTCTCTCTCTTTCTCTAAAGCTTTTTTCTTACTGGGGTCCATGCAGTGGGTGTGGATGACATGAGGGTATGAAGAGAACAGCTCCCCTGTTTGGCAAGGCCCAGAGAAGTTTCCAGCTGTTTGGCAGGGCCTGGCGGATGTCTCTCTGACTACTTTGATGCGGTTTCACCCCTGTTTGCATGGACACTCAAGCACCCCACTAAGAATTCTGTAATCCATTGAGGCATTGCTGTTTGCCCCTGTGAGATGGTTTTGCCACTGATGTGAGCTTGAGAGTTAATGTCGCTGATGATGTCTTGGTGAGTGGGCCTTTGACAATTTACACACAGGAACATAATTAAGCTCATACCATTTCTGGACATCTTATTGGGTGCTTAACCATTGCTTCAGAGTCTGGCCCAGACATGTAGCACACCTTCTGGAAAGGGTCTTGATAAATATCCTAAATCCTAATGAAAGTGATGGGAGTGAGCGCTGAAACTGCTTTGGCAATAAATATAGTTATTGTGGTCTTAAAGACTAGTCAGTCTGTCTTTGTAATTTCTTTGGAGCATAGGAAATGTAGCTGTTTTGGCCACTTCTATAATTTTTGGGTACAGGAATTAAAGGATGCTTTTATTAATACTATGGATATATGCTTTTAATAATTGTTTGTTTATGGGGTTGTAGAACCTATAGTTGTAGGGGAATTTAACATTTGAAACTTTTGTCTTGGATTTTTATGTTTTTTTCTTGTGGCATATTTTTTCCATTAAATGATGGGTAAACTGTAGAAACAGAAATGTGGTCGGAATGTATTGCTGACTAGCAGGTAATCGCATGTGCTTTGGCCTTGGAGTCCTGCTGCTGCTCCATGGCTGCTACCGAAGAATGAACAATGGCTTGCTTTGAAGAATATGAATATGATATTTTGCAGAATTATCTTTAGGGACACCTGCTTGGCAATGAAGTACAGACAGAATGACCAAATGTCTGTACATGAAGCAAAAATAGAACAATGAGTTGTTTGTGTAGAAGCTTGTGATGTGTCTACGTAAATAAAAAAGCACAGCTCCTTGTACTGTTACAAGAGGGCATCAAGGGGCACTGCCCATGTCTTTTCTTTTCACCAATGCCACACATCTTTCTTGAGCTCTGAACCCGGCTGGAGCTGGCTTCCAGCATTTTTGTTTAAAGATTTTTAATTTTATTGGAAAAGCAGACATACAGAGAGGAGAAGAGACAGAGAGGAAGATCTTGAATTCACTGATTCACTCCCCAAGTGGCTATAACAGCTGGAGCTGAGCTCATCCAAAGCCAGGAGCCAGGAGCCAAGAGCCAGAAACTTCCTCTGGGTCTCCCATGTGAGCACAGGGTCCCAAGGCTTTGGGCCATCCTCCACTGCTTTCCCAGGCCGCAAGTAGGGAACTGGATGGGAAGTGGAGCATCTGGAACATGAACTGGTGCCCATATGGGATCCTGGTGCATGCAGGCAAGGACTTTGGCCACTAGGCTACCGCGCCGGGTCCTCTAACCCATATTCTTGCTAATGTGCCTGGGAAGACAGTGGAAGATGGTTCAAGTGCTTGGGTTCCTGTTGCCCAGGTAAGAGGCCAAGATGGAGTTCATGGCTGTAGGTTTTTGGCCTGGATCAGTTCTGACTGTTGTGGCCTTAGAGGGAGTGGACCAGCAGATGGAAGATCTCTATCAGTCTGCCTTTAAAAAAATTATTTATTTATTTTATTGGAAACACAGATTACCAGAGAGAAGCAGAGTTAGAGAGGAAGATCTTCCATCTGCTGATTCACTCCCCAAGTGGCTGCAATGGGTGGAGCTGAGCCAATCTGAAGGCAGGAACCAGGAGCTTTTCCTGGGTCTCCCATGCGGGTTCAGGCTCCCAAGACCTGGGCCATTCTCTACTGCTCTCCTAGCCCACAAACAGGGGGCTGGGATACAAACTGGTGTCCCTATGGGATTGAAGAGGTGGAATAGCTGATTGAATCATCACACTGCATCCCCTGCTTCTGCCTTTCAAGTCAATCATCCAAAAAACAGCCCAGTTGGTCAGGGAAGAGGTCTGGGATTCAAAATTTTCTTAAGCTGCCCGGACAAATTTAATAGACATCTGAGGTGAGAGCCATGGTGGAACCCAAGTCCAAGGAAAGGTCCTTTACGAGTGTCTCCAACTGTGAGTAGACGGGGCTGCCCGAGCCCCAGCTCAAGATCCTGCAGATGCAGCAGGAAGGAGTGTGGTGAGCAATTACTGCTGTACGCCATGTGTCCAATGGGGGTCTTGGTGACCATGTGCTAGCCAACACCTTCAGAATGCAGATGCATTTGGTTGCAGAGAGAAGAAAGGACGTTTTGCCCAAAGTTGCAGTCAAAGGTCAGATCAAGTGGTCCCGGGTCTAGTTTCATCGCTCTCAACCAAGCTGGCTACTTAGGTTGTCCCAAGGCTCTAATTTTGGAGCATTTCCTTCCTTCCTGCTGTGGCACACAGCCAGAGGACAGTTCTCTGTCCACATGGATCGCAGCAGGCATCAGCCTTTAGCCTGTCCTTGTGCATCGCTCTGGTGCCTGTGCCTTAGGAAGTCAGCTGGACAAGTACCTGGGCACGGGTTGTACTAAGAGAGGAGGATGCTAGACATGTAGACATGTGCTACGGTCATTACGTAAGTGAGAAGTTGCTATGTCAATGCAGATGAGTGTCCCATTGCCAAGATGCAAATACTGGAACAGAGAATGACTGAAGGCAGCTGGAGGCTCATGAGCATTTAACTCGCTCCTGGCTTTCTTTCTGGGCCTTGCATTTGGCAAGGCCCACAGAAGGACTCAGCAGACACACACCGGAGGATGATCTACCACCTTGGAGGAAGGAGCTGTGTGCAATAAGGGCACTCGGCAGTGACACCGGGAGGGACTGAGGCCTTGCCTGATGCCCGGGTCCTGCAGATGGCAGGGCTGGGTGGAGTTGTCTCGTGTCCCAGCTCTAGTGCAACTGTGCCCACTTCCCCATTCACAAGCACTAGGTTCCTTTGCCTTCACTGCTCACCCATCCCACCAGGTAGATTTGCATGTATTTTAAAAACCATGATTTCAAGATAGGAATAAAAAATTTACAAACTCTGGGACTCTAAACTTTGACACTATTTTGTTGTCTAATAATGGCACTTGAAACTTGAGTTAGCCTGAACTTCAGAATGTAGCACAGTGCTTAGTTCAAAGCCAGATCTGAAAATCTCATGACTGACTGAATTCATAAGCTAATATTTGGGCTACACTGAGATGAGACATATCTGTGGTGTCTATTAGATACATTGACTATCTTCTCAGGGTACAAACGGAAGTGGAATGGAAAGGAGGTAATGCCCCAGGAATTCCTGTGGCCCTACCGTGTTCTAGGTAGAAATAGGTCCACAGTTACATTCACCATCCATCCATCCATCTGCCATTCATTATTGATCACCCCTCCACCCACCCACCATCCATCCATCAATCCACCAACCACTCATCATCCACCCATTCATCCACTCATGCTCCATTTATACACCCATATGCCTATCCACTCACCATTCATTAGTCATCCATCCATATATTCATCATCCATTTATTTATCTGCCCACCCATTTGTTAGCCGCCTGTCTGCCATTCGTCGATCAATTATTCGTTATCCATTCATTCATCTACCCA